CATTTTTCTCTTTATTCAGTCACGTTTTGGTCAATCAGGTCGATGGGTATCAGCTATACTCTGGATACACGCTAGATTGTTATTGTTGTTGTTGTTATGTGGCGTGGAGTCGGTTCCGTAGCGGGTTTCTGAGGCTGTAAATCTTTACAGGAGCAGAAAGCCTAGGCCAACCGGCACACTGTAGGCTCAGAAGTCTACTCAACTCTTTGCGCTTCTGACCAGCCCTTTCTCTCTTTCTTTCATCCCTAACCTCCATGGCCTAGGTCAAGAAGTGCCAATGGATGGAATGGGCTTGATCTGTGGACTTCCATAGACCTGTCTCTTCATTACTGCACTTTCCCTACTTGCACTCGCTGAGTGCATCCAAGTCTTGGCAAGCAAGCATACTAAGCTGTCCACTTGCTGGCTCTCTTTAACTTGTAGTTCTAGAAAAGTGTTCTTCTGATAGGCACTGATTTTCCATGCCACAATACAGCTAAAGGTAATGTTTAAAAAGTAGAGCAATCCTTTTCTTTTTCCTCAGGTCCTTCTTTCAAATGCAAATCTCCTGCTTTCCCAGTGGTTCTGGGTAGATCTTCCTGCCTTTTCAAATGGAAATTTCCTGACTGGAAAGATTGGGTGGGGCTCAGGTTTTCTACCTAAATTCCCAATATTTTATACACAAGGCTACTGCATTTAAACTAACAGCCAGCGTTTCTTTTGGGCAAATCTTAACTCCTCTTTTAGCATACCTAATTAAAAATATTGAAGGAGCTCTGGTAGCATAGTGGTTGCTAACCTTAAGTTGGGCTGCTAACCTCAAGGTCAGCAGTTGGAAACTACTAGAGGTTCCAACAGGAGAAAGATGAGGCTTTCTGCTCCCATAAAGATATACAGCCTTGGAAACCTTATACAAGGTCACTATGAGTCAGAACCAACTCCACCAATTAAATATTGGAGTCCTGGTGTGATGCTGTAGGATAAGCACTGGACTGCTAACTCAAGGGCAGTGGTTCAAACAAACTGCTCCTCAGAAACCCTACACAGGGTCACTATGAGTCAGGACTCCGCAGCACTTAACAACAATTGCGTTTTGCCTGATGGTGGAATCACACTCTCAATCACCTATAATGCCCAACATTTCTTTCTATCATGCCTGTGGTCTGTTTTACAATGCTAGGTAGAAGAATCCGATGCAAAATGGTCAACACCAGTTCATTTCAGCTCACTAATGCTAAGGATATTAATCTTTATGCATCCCGTTTCATTTCTGATAGCTTCCAATTTTCCTAGATTCATACTTTGTACATTCCGCATTTCAGTTTTTAATGGATGTTTGCAGCTGTTTCTCCTCACTTTGATTTGTGCATCAGCAAATGAAGTTCCAGAAATTTTTACTTCATTCATGCTACCGTGGTCAACTCTACTTTAAGGAGGCAGTTCTTCCCCAGTAGTATATTGAGTGCCTTCCAACCTGAGGGGTCATCTTCTGACATTATATCTGACAATGTTCTGGTGCTATTCAAAATGTTTTCCTCTTCCAGCACTATCATTGACAAGGTTTCACTGTTATTCATAAGTGTGTAAATATTCAGAAGTAGCCCACGTCTCCTTCTTCCTAGTCTGTCTTAGTCTGGAAGCTCTGCTGAAACCTGTCTACCTACTGTGACCCTGCTGGTATTTAAAATCCTGGTGGCATAGCTTCCAACATCACAGCAACATGCAAGCCACCACAGAACAACAAACTGATAGAGGTGTGGTGGGAATGGTTTACACGAACTATAATAATATGATCATAGGTTATTATGTGATCACATTGAGTTCTTACGATGTTTCAGATCCTGACATGTTTCAACATATATTTTTCCAGCACAAATCTGCATAAGAATCTATTTAAAAACCAAATCCATTGCCATCAAGTCTATTCTAACTCATAGAGCAAAACTATAGGGTAGAGCTGCATGTAGTGTTTCGAAGTCTGTTTTTTGTTTGTCTTTTTCAAGTATTTATTGTGAATTAAGTGATAGTTTACATGGGAGAACATCGGTTTTACACCATCATTTCATTGCAATGATTACAATATCCACCGTGCATCATCATTTGCTTCTGGTCCCTCTGTGTTTTGTTTTGTTTTTTGAGGTGTGTGTGTGTGCACAAAAACACTCAGGAATATATAATATTTAAACAACCAAAGGATACATTCTGCAAGCCTACCTCCTGGCTGACAATATTCAGTCCCTCTCTTTCCTTGAGTCCAGAGTCCTCAGTTGTTTCCTCTCTCAATGTCCTCATCTCTGCCTCTGTCTCTGGTGTGTAGCTGCTTCTCTGGATAGGGTCCGGCATTCTGCTTGTGCTCTTCTCCTTTGATGGTCCTAGGGACCTCTGTTTCTGGACTGTAAGATTAACTACTCCTCTGTTTTTGTTACAAAACTTCTACCTTTATAGTTGTGACAGTCGCAATTAGTCAAGAGCTGAAATTTTTAAGGAAGAAGGCTGCCACATCTTTCTCCTGTGGAGTAGCTGATGGGCTCAAACTGCACAATTGAGCACTTTAACTACCGCACCACCAGGGCTCCTAGAACTGCATTGTTGTTGTTAAGTGCCATTGAGTTGGTTCATACTGACCCTGTATAGGGTTTCTGAGGAACGGCTGGTGGGTTTGAACTGCTCACCTTGTGGCTAGCATTCCAGTGCTTATCCTACTGCTCCACTCTAGAACTCCATTGTTGTTGCTGTTGTTAAGTCCTGTTGAGTTGGTTCTGACCCACAGTGACCCTGTATAGGGTTTCCGAGGAGCAGCTGGTGAGTTTGAACCTAACCTTGCAGTCTAGTGCATTAACCCAAGTGCCACGCATTAGGTAGGTATTACTATTATTTTCCTTATCACCCATATAGCATCAGTTTGTCAAACTGTGGTGGCTAGTGTGTTGCTGTGATGCTGGGAGCTATGCCATCAGTATTTTATATACCAGCAGGGTCACCCATGGTGGATAGTTTTCAGCATAGCTTCCAAACTATGATAAACTAGGAAGAAAGGCCTGGTGATCTACTTCAGAAAATTAGCCAGTTAAAAACCTTATCAAAAGAACATTGTCTTACTCACTTGTTTTGGACATGTCAACAGGAGGGATCAATCTCCGGAGGAGGACATCATGTAGAGGGTCAATGAGGACAAGAAAGACCCTTGGTGACATGGATTGGCACAGTGGTCTCAACAATGAACATATAAGCATGCTGGCGAACTGGATGATGACACAGGACAGGGAATCGTTTTGTTCTGTTGTGCCATGGGTCAAAGTTGAAGACAGCTAGCAACAACATTTTATTGATGAGGACAATGAGGTGGGATTAACGATTATCCAGCAGACTCTTGCCTTACCATGCAAGAAAAATTATACTGCATTATCTTTTTTTACAGAAATTTCTTCAAAATCATCTATTTGTTCAGGAGTAAGATGACTCACTCCATATTTTGGGGGTGCTTCCTTTCGCTGAGCCTCAGAGGTAGAGCAGTGAACTGTCACCTGTTGCTTTTTGCCCTTCCCATGTTCCCTGGGCATATTTTATTATGCTGTATATTTCATTTGTCCAAGAGAAGAAGGAAGTGTGACAGGATAAGCCCATGAGTTGCTGGGAAAGCCTCATGCCTCTGTTTCCCATCAGCAATGTTCCATTGGTGCCAGGGAAGACTTGGGGGAGTGCCCCCACCCTGATCCTGGAGACACTGCCCAAGGGCAATTGTATCCATCATCACTGCATTGTTTCTGTCAAACTGTGTCTCCATCCCAGGGTGCAGTGGGGGTGGGATCTGTGTTCCTTTTCACCTTATTACAAACATAATTAACTTGAAACTGCCTATTGTTGTTGTTATGTGCCGTGTGGAGTGGGTTCCCACTCATAGCGACCCTGTACAGGGTTTCCGAGGCTGTAAATCTTTATAGGAGCAGAAAGCCTCATCTTTCTCCTGCCGAAGAGCTGGTAGTTTCAAACTGCTGACCTTGTTGTTCGCAGCCCGAACGTAACCATTACGCTACCACAGCTCCTTTGAAACTGTCTATAGAGCCTGGTAACTAAAGGAGGAATGCTTGTCTACCTCTCTTTTGGTCTCTTAACCTCCAGCTCTTTCTTTCTTCTCCAGCCTCATGGGAAAGCACCCTTCCTTCTCATCCATCCTCATAGGACAGCCATCGTCTTCCTGCAAAGTGAGTCTTTTAGTCCTCACAACCTGGCCCCTGCTGCCTCTCAAACCACCCCTGATGACTCCCTATGTCTGCGGACTCCTCAGGACCCCAAACTCACTGTAGCAGCTAAGGCTGCTGTCTTTGCTGTCAGCGCCTCTCAAAGACGACACCTGCTGTTCCTTCTGCTTAAAACACCTTTCCATTCCTACACTACATGAAACACTCCTAGATAAGGAAAGAGGGGTTCCTCTGGGTACCCCTCAACACACCAGCTTCTCTCGATCTCTGTAAACATTCTCTGGAAAGCACTTATTTACTGTCCCTTTCCTCTCACGGATCTGTGACCTAGGAGCAGATTGCTTTAAGGTACAAAACAGGCCCTTATCGTGTGTTTGTTGCAGGGGAGACTGGGTGAAATGAATGAACAATAATGATAATAACAATTACATTTATTATTCACCCAGAAGTTTTTGTGAACATGGCTTTGTGTATTGAAAATCTCACTTAAGGCTAAAAGAACACTGTGATGGAGACCTACTTACTCCATTGCTCAGGTGAGGAAACTGAGAATTGGAAAGGTAAAAAGTTAAAATGTAAGTGGGCCTGACTCCAAAGCCCGAGTCCCTCACTAATAAGCATGGCTAGAGAAAGAGACTGGTAGATCTGAAAGGCTGTTGCATGCAAGTTGTCCGTCCCAGCCGTCCCAGACAAGGTCCGGGACGCGAACGTGTACCGGCAACGCGTGCGCAGTGCGGCAGCGGCGCCCCCTGCGGACGGCGAGCGAGGACTCAGTGCGCCTGCGTGCGTGCGGAGGAGCTGGTGGTAGTAGTATTCGCGGCGGCCTTAGAACCAGACTCGGCTGATTTTCGCTCAGTGAGCGCGGCTATGGCGCAGCCCAGGAAGCTGCCCAAGGAGCAGAAGTACGACCGGCAGCTGAGGTGAGCCGGGTCTCACTGAGCGTGGCGGGCGGGCCGACGGGCTTCTCTGCATCCGGACCTGGCCTGAGCGGAGGGACGGCGCGGTCGGGCCTCGCATAGGCCAGGCCTCTGTCCGTGTAGTGTGGGACGCTGAGAGCCGGTACTCCAGGTTCCGACCCGGACCCCAGAGGCTCGGCCAAGGTCAGGGCTCCCCGTCCTCCGCACGCAGTTCCAGGGCCAGTCGGGCCCCCTGGGCGACCTCCGTTTCCCCCATACCGCGCTCAGGCTCTCGTCTGCATTTTGTATTCCTAGCCCTGCGGCCGAGAACGGTACCTGTGTTAGGTATTGTTCAGAACCAGCGCTGCCAGTAAAAATATGATAGTCTCAGTGAGAGACACATGTCACTGTAAAATTTCTAGTTGTTCTTAAGTGCCGGCGGGTCGTTTCCGACTCAGCGACCCTGATACAGGGTTTCCAAGGAGCAGTTGGTGGCCTTGAACCACCGACCTTTGGTTAACAGTTCAATGTTTATCATAAAGCGCCACACCAGGACTCTAGTTGATGTTGTTAGGTACCATCGAGTCGGTACCGACCCATAGTGACCTTATGCATAGCAGAACAAAACACTGCCCTATCCTGGGCCAACCTCACTACTGTTGCCACGCTTGAGTCCATTGATGCTGCCACTTGGCCAATCCATCTCGTGGCGGCGGTGGGGGGGTGGAGGGGGGGTCTTCCTCTTTTTCTCTAGTTGTTGTGAAGTGCCGTGGAGTCAATTCCGACCCATAGCGACCCTGTATAAGGTTTCCAAGGAGCAGCTGGTGAGCTTGAACCATCGACCTTGTAGTTCAAAGGGCTTTAAAAAATGCAAATGACTTCCTCTCAAATTTTTAGGGTGTTTCCTTTCATATAGCCCTAATGGGTAAAGTTTTTCGCAATATACTTTATCCCAATGTGATCATTTCAGTATGTATGATTTAAACATGTAAGCAATGTAAGAAGTTACTAGAGAGATTTTACATTCTTTTATATTGTTTCCACGTAATAAAAAACCCAGACCCATTGATTTAGAATCACAGAGAGTGACCTTAGGTCAGACTAGAACTGCCCCCATGAAAGCCGACCATCATATCTTTCTCCCCCTGAGCGACTGGTAGACTGGAACTGCCAAGCTTCTCGGTTAGCAGCCAAGCAGTTAACTATTGTGTCATCAGTGTTCCACTTTACACTTACCCAGAAAACCCACTGCTTTTGAGTGATTCTGATTCAGTGACCCTATGATGTTGTTGGTGCCATCGAGTCGATTCACACTGACCTTGTGGTTCAGTGCATCATCCTACAGCATCACATCAAAACTCTCTGTGTTGTTGTTGTCAAGTGCTGTCAAGTCGATTCCAGTTCAGCGACCCTGTATAGGGTTTCTGAGGAGCAGCTGGTGGGTTTGAACTGCTGGCCTTGTGCTTCGCAGTCCATTGCTGATCCGCAGCACTACACCAAGGGTTTCAAAGACAGTAAATTTATAATGGAGCAGATAGCCTCATTTTTCTCCCTCTAAGGAGCTCTGGTAGCGTAGTGGTTACGAATCGGGCTGCGAACCTTAAGGTCAGCAGTTTGAAACTACCAGCCGCTCCGCGGGAGAAAGATGAGGCTTTCTACTCCCGTAAAGATTTACACCCTCGGAAACCCTGTACAGGGTCGCTATGGGTCGGACCCGACTCGATGGCACACAACAACAACAACAACAACAAGTAGCCAGTGAGTTTGAATTGCTAATCTTGCAGTTAACAGCCCAATGCCTAAACTATTGGGCCATCACTTAACAGCACATTTCCCATGTTTAATAGCTATATGTGGCTAATCCCAAACCAAACCCATCACGGTCTAGTTGATTTGGACTCTTGACAACCCTGTAGGTAGGACTGCTTCATAGGGGTTATTGGCTGTAATCCTTATGGAAGCAAATCACCAGTCTTTCTGTGGTACAGCAAGGTGGGTGCAAACTGCCAACCTTTAGGTTGTTCCATAGCAACCCCATAAGATTTCCGAGGAGCGGCTGGTGAGCTTGAACTGCCAGCGTTGCGGCTCAAACCAGTTTTGTAGTCCATCACATTAACCCACTGTGCCACACCAGGACTCCTTAGGTTAGTTGAGTGGAAACAGTTTGAGCCACCCAGGTACCCACCTGATTGGATAGTGCAGGTCTAAGACATTAGGCTTGTCAACAAGAAACATGTACTTTGTTAAAATAAAAACAGACTTATTAAGGATTCAAAACAGTTTGAACCAGTGACACAGCCGACCCAAGAAAGGAAAAAGTGCTCCAAAATCGTGGAGAAGCAAAGGTGTATTTTATGAGATAAAATAAAAAACTACAGATACAGCATTCTGATTGGAACCTGCAGCAAGATAGGGGAAGCTGAAGATGGGGCAAGTTGAAGGGGAGGAGCTTTACAGTGATTGGGTGGACACACACATGTGGGCTATTTGGATTGGTTAGTTTAAATAACTGACCCAAGAGGGTAGTTTGACAGGGTGATCTTATGGTAATTATCTTAAAATACTTGCTGAGGGGATTTGTAATAAGGATCTTGAGCCCTTTAATAATATTTTTTCATACTTTTAGTTTAACCTCAGAAAACTGTTTCTTTAGTTCTGTACGTAAGTTGGTCTCGGAAACCTTATATAGAGTCACTGTGAGTTGGAACCGATTCAGTGGCACTTAACAACAAGGGTATGACAGTTGCAGGGCAGTTCTTTTTTCTGTACCTGCCTAGGCAAAGTTGACAGTTGCAAGAAAAGTAAGCAAAAGCCAAAATGGGAGTTAGGGAGCACGGTGGCTCTGTAGGATAAACACTGAACTGCTAACCACAGGTGGGTGCTTCAAGCCCAGCATTTAAATACATAGGAGAAAGATGAGACTTTCTGCTCCTGCAGAGGTTTCCAGCCTTGGAAATCCTGTACAGAGCTACTGTGAGTTGTCTCTGACTCCGTGGCACTTAGCCACAAGAACAAGATGCAGTTGGGCTAGCGCGTTCTGATACCAATCAAGCACCTTAAGTTTTGGAACTCTCACTTATGTTTTCTCTTGCCTTTTTTCCACACACTCCTCCCCCCTTTCTTATTTAGTAAAGGAGGTAACAAAGATGGTTGGCCCTTATCCATGCTGGAGTCCCCAGGTCTAGAGAAGTTACACTAGCTCCCTCAAAACAGGGACTCTTCATCTGCATCTACAGCCTAGTAACTATTAGGGACTGTAGGCTGTCAAGTCTAACAGCAGCCTCAAAGGCAGACATTCTGCATTATAGATGGGGAAATCAAGTCTTGGACTAGAGTCTAGAGGATTGACTTCTTGTTTGGCCTCTTTCTTGAAGCATGTTATACCACCATTCTCTTAAGCTCACTTTCCAACTACCCAAGCATCCATTAACCAAGCATATTGGAGTCTACTGTGAACCCTGATGTGGCGCTGTAGAATATGAATTGGACTTCTAACCACAAGGTCAGAAGTTCAGACCCACCAGCCGCTTTTGAAAATCCTACATAGGGTTGCTATGAGTTGGAAGCACCTTGATGTCACTCATCCACAACAACTGTGTGCCCTGCTCTCAGGGAAAAGCAGGTGTTGCCAGCTGTCTGGCTCTTCTGGCTCTTCCTCCATTCATTTGACAACTTCAGAGATCACTTCCCCTAGGCTCCAGTGGTGAGCAGAAATGGAATGAGCTGGGCCCTTAGGGACTAAGTGAAGTGGGGAGGTGGGTGTTCAGCACATAAAAACCAACTGTGGCAGTTACCAGTTGTGATAGGCTCTGTAGGACATGCTGGCTGCACATAAGGGAAAGTTGCTTTAGGTCAGGTAACAAAGAACAAGGCCCATTAAAGTTCTCTCCACTGCTAATACCTATCTGACTGGCAATTTTCTAATGATTTGGGTTCTCCCTATACTTCCTATGTTGTAAGGTGCCATCGAGTCGATTTCAACCTATAGCAACTCTATGTGACAGACTAAAGGTACTGCATAGGGTTTTCTAGGCTGTGATCTTTATGGGGGCAAGTTGCCAGGTCTTTTTCCCTTTGGAGCTTGTGGGTGGATTCAAACCAACACCTTTTCAGTTCACAGCCAAGTGCTTAACCATTGCACCATTAGGTCTCTTATACTGAGAAGTAAGATAAATGACTTAATATGTTTCCTGGGTGAAGGTAACCAGGTTGGGCCAGGTGCCATGATAGGAATGTGACTTGCTCTCTTACTGATGTACTGGTGAATCATATGTGAATCAGGTTTTAGTATACATCTGTAGTTCTTAACTACATCTCTCTTAATGTTTGCATTTATCGATCATGTGATTAGAATGCTTATCACGTAATAGATTTTAAAACACTTACCTAGAAGTTGATGTGAAGCTGATGACAAGAACTATTTGCTTGCTATAACTTTAGCAGGTGTCACAGTGATAACTACTGTGTCAAGATCCTAAGTGCACAGGATCCATGTAACTTAAGGAGACATGTAATAGAGACAGGTTTCAATTCTGATACCTTAATGTTAATAAGCTGTGAAGCATAGCTAAAGACTGCCCTGTAAGTTATCTGGTTTTAAGAGAATAATGGACAAGGAGTCAGCAGATAAAGACCAAATTCCTCATTCTGATTTGATCCTTTTCTGACAATGCAAGGCTTAGTTTACTCAGCTATGCTGTTAGATATCATCAAGTTGGTTCTGACTGATAACAACTCTATGCACAACAGAACTAAACAACTGCATCGTCATCCTTATAGTCATCTCCATAGTAACATCTGCTCCTCACATCAGTTACCCTATGCAAGAACATGTTAAAAATAAAAGTCATTCAAATATGAAATGTGTGTTTTTGTGGAAGTTTAAAAAATGTTGAATTTGTGTCTTGTTTTGTAGGTTGTGGGGTGATCATGGGCAAGAGGCTTTGGAATCTGCTCATGTTTGTTTAATAAATGCAACAGCCACAGGGACTGAAATTCTTAAAAACTTGGTACTACCAGGTAATGTAGTTTTGTCGTTGTATTCTAAATGTACTTCTTTAAACTTTTGAACTAGAAATATATAGACTTGACTGACTGTTTTGTTTCCCAGGTGTTGGTTCTTTTACAATTATTGATGGAAATCAGGTCAGCGGAGAAGATGCTGGAAACAAGTATGTTCTGTTGTTTTCTAATATCAACCTGTTAGGGAGAGCAGTGTGCTGTCACAGGAGAGTGAGGCCTGAATTGTGGCATCATCTCCTCCAACTGAGTGGCTTGATGCTTAGGTGGAAATAATCCTTTTTCCCTTTTTCTTGGGTTATAGTGAGATGATGTAAGTTAATGCTAATATGGGTTAAGTGCTGACATGGTGGCTGGCAAATAGGCCCTTAATAAAAAGTGCCCATCAGTACTATCTTTATTCTTATTAATGCAAAGGAGTAGAGTAGTAGTCATTATTCCTTTATTTGCGAAACCTGGACACTTTCCCAGTCTTTGCATTGATTCTTAGGCTCTAGTATGTAATTAACAATAATCATTTTTGGGGGGTTATTAGATTAATAAAAGCAATACCTTTTTTTTGTGATGTCTTCTGAGCTATAGGGTCATTATGAGTTGGGATTGACTCAGTGGCAATGGGTTTTTTGTTTCTAAGTTTAGTCTAGATAAGTCTCTACTTTATACTGTGTCTATAAAAAAGGCTGTTTTAAAGAAGGCCTGGATGTAATTCTTTAAAGATTGTCCTATTAAGACTCTCAGAGCAACCCTATATTTTAATTTCAAGATCACCTTTTCAGGGATTTAGAATCTGGGATCTCTCATTGGATTTGACAGTAAATAGTAAGCAAGTATAAATACAAGGAAAAACAAGGTCTGGTTCATTTTGAGCTTTGATGTGTTCTCTGGGTAGGTGTACAAGTTTCCCTTATCCACAACATAGACTTTTAAAAATATCTATAATGAAAAAAAAAAAAAAAATCCTATTTGCTTGCTTGACCTCAGTATATGAATGCTTGGCTTGTTTAAAGCAGGATGTGAAAAGTTTTCTGTTTCTTAGGGAGCTAATGAACTTGGATCATAAATGGCACATTGACTGATCAGCAGCCTCAGATCTGGCCTTGAGACCTGATAAACATTGGTGTGGAGGAAGCCTGAATAAATCAGTTACCTGCAAAAGCAAATGGTTCAGTGTTTAGTACCAGCAAATATTTCCCAAAGTGTGGTCTGTGGAACCACTAGGTGCTACGTTGTGTTGTTGTTAGATGCCATGGAGTCCGTTCCAATTGACAATGACCCTATAGGGTTTCTGAGGCTGTGGAAGCAGAAAATCTCCTATCTCGCCCTTGGATTTGAATCACTGACCTTGTGGTTAGCACTCTAGTGCTGATCTTATGGAACCACTGCATTCCCTAGGTAGTGCTGTAGAGTTGGTTCCAACTCATAGCAACCTTCTGTAGGGTTTCCAAGGAGTGGCTGCTGGATTTGAACTGCTACCTTGCAGTTGAAGTAGACCTTGCAGACCAGTGCATTATCCTAGCACTGTTAGATGGGCAAATGGATTACATGGTTAGATGAGTTTGGAAAATAGATGAAAGGAGGTTAAATATTTCTTTACTATGAGACTAACATGATGTGTATTGTGTATATTTTGAATTTCTAAGGAGTAGGACATACAGTATATAGTGTTACCTAAATTTTTTTTTTTTCCCTAGCTAAGGAACTCTTCTTTCAGAGCATCTTGTGAAATTTCTTATTCTGTGGCATACCCTTTGATTTATTTAGCCCATCTGAGTTACCAGTTTCATCCCGTTTTCTTCCCTCAAGAAGGCTTTTACAGTCTGTAATCAAATACAGTTTTATACTCTGAATGAAATAGACCTGGCATTACAAGTAACCTTTCCATTAGAGTCAAATAAGCCTTTTCATTTATTTATTATTTTTTTGCTCATTTCAGTTTTTTCCTTCAAAGAAGCAGTATTGGCAAGGTAAAATATTCGATTTGTTATAGAATATAGTTCTGTGTGAGCATCTAATGATGCCTTTGTGTCTTAATTGCTTGAAAAGCTTTGACTTTAAAAGAACTTATTTTTCTGATAAAAAAGTTGAATCAGCTCATTTTTATAATATTGTATATATTTATATAAATGTTTTCAGTTTGAAAACTTAGAAGTACTGTCTAATTTTCATGCTATCTCCTATATCCTTTATTCAAGCCAAACCTTGAATAGTGACAATATTCAGAGCATGAAGTATTCTGCTTAACGCAGTTTTTTAAGAGATAACTAGAATACCCTTTATTTTTATAGTTCATATTTTATACTAGTCAGTTGGTACAATGTTTTGAATGGGAATGACTGTTAATGTTTGGCTCCTATTATACAGGACTGTAGCTATGGAAGGTTAGTTTGAGTCTGGATTTAATTCAGGACATCCCCACCTGCTAGCCAATGTTTTCTGATCATTTGCCTAATAAGAAAAGTAGAGTGCAAATGATATGGTCAGTTTAGGACTCTGAGTAATTAAGCTTTAGCTGTTTTAAATGACATCTGGTTGAATCCGCATTCCAAGTGCTAGAGAAAGCAGATTTATATTACACAAGCATGAAAGTCTTACACTTTTGCAACCTATTTTGACTGACCAGTAAGTTGGGGGGTTACATTATAACTAAATTTTTTTTAATTGAAGCAAATGCTTTGTCTTTATAAAGAACCGAGCTCAAGCTGCTATGGAATTCTTACAAGAATTAAATAATGATGTCTCTGGAAGTTTTGTGGAAGAGGTACAGTCACATAAATGTTATTATTCCTGTACTGAGATGGATTTGTTTTAATAATTCAAAGTCCTAGGGATTTATACATTTGAATTTTTATATAATTTATGTTTATTTCAAAGTTGAATTACTATATTTTGATCTAGTATATTGCTTCATTTGTTCTAAGATAGCTTAACTGTTTCTGCCATGCTTAATATGAATGTGAAATTTTTGGGTTTTCTCCCCCCATCCTATTTAGAGTCCAGAAAACCTTCTAGACAATGATCCTTCATTTTTCTGTAGGTTTACCATTGTGGTTGCAACTCAACTCCATGAAAGGTAAATTTTTACGTTAATATGTTTTAATTTTAAACTCTTAATGTTGTTGTTAAGTACCATGGAGTTGGTTCCGACTCATAGGGACACCCTGCACAGGGTTTCCGAGGCTGTAAATCTTTACTGGAACAGAAAGCCTCATCTTTCTCCCATGTAACAGCTGGTAGTTTTGAACTGCCGACCTTGAGGTTAGCAGCCCGATTCATAACCACTACGCTATCAGAGTTCCTTAATAGAGTTACATAATTCTCTGCATAATCTAAGATTTGGTTTTAAAAATTCTAAAACTGTATGTTGTTGTTAAGTGCCGTTGATTCGATTCTGACCCTGTATAGCTACCCTGTATAGTGTTTCTGAGGAGCAGCTGGGGAGCTTGAATCACTGACCTTGCAGTTTAAATGGCTTTGCAGTCTGGCGCATTAACTCACAGTGCCATACCAGGATTCCCTTAAGCTGTATAGAAATCCTTAATTTAAAGCTTCCAGCACTGAAAAGACAGGGTAGAGAAAAATTGTGAGGTGCAAAACATTTTTTTAATGTATTTTATGCAGTTAAATTGAACATTGGTTATTTTTCAGTGATGAAAACTAGTTAGACTTGATTTTAGGAAGCATTTGGGGCTGTGTACACAGTTTTATAGAAGTCCTTGTGTGGGGCCAATGGTAATGCATTTGGCTTCTAGATGAAAGGTTTGAGGCTCAAGGCCTCTTGAAAGAAACGTGTTGATCTGTTTCTGAGAAATCAGCCATTGAAAAACTTACAGAGCACAGTTGTACTCTGACATACATGTGGTCCCCTTGAGTTGGAATTGACTTGGTAGCAACTGATTTTTACAAGGATTGTATCAATGTTTTTCACTTCGTTATGGAAATGTTTAAAAAATACCTTTTACTATAAGGATAGCACTCTCATTTATAGTGCTCAGGTTGCTTTATTTTAAGGCATTCTCGTGTTTGGCAATCTTTATTTGCTCATGGTGTTATTTATTTTGCTTTTCTTTACAGTATATTACTACGTTTAGCAGATGTCCTCTGGAATTCTCAAATCCCTCTTTTGGTCTGTAGGACATATGGATTAGTTGGTTATATGAGGATCGTTATAAAAGAACATCCAGGTAAAATTGAGGAGCATATGGATTTGCTGTTGGTTGTTCTAGTCATAATTTGAGAAACTTGACAATTTAGAGTCAGTCAAGTCTTTGCAATTCTTTGGTTAAGGCTTCAAAGTGGCAATCAAACTCAAAGGCACCAATAGGCTTAATCTAGTATTTGTTTACTTAGCATTATAAAAGGATACAGAGCAGGTGATACAGCAGGCACAGCTTCTTCATCTTATTAGGAAGCCCCACAACTACACACATCCCTGGTAGTTTCTTTCTTTTGCCCTCTCACACAGGGCATGCATGACCGCCATAAGTGAGCGCCAAAGCATACAGGTCTCTGTGACTTAGAATGCACACCATCTTTTCTCCATCCGTCTTTTATTCCAGACTCCAGGGCTCCATGCCATGTCACAGCCCCCCAACTCAGCTTTAGTTCCGCACTATAGCCAAGGAAACAGTTCTGTGAGAGACCAGAGTCATTTATGGTCATCAGCTCAGGGCTGGCATTAGCCTTGTGCTTATAAAATCATAATCTTAGATCAACATAAAATTTTCTTCCAGTGCTCATAGAATACTCTTTATTACTCACAAAAGTGGTGTCATTGTGTACCAACTCTGGAGCAGGCACTTGGCTAGTGCTACGATAGCCACTGCCATTGGTGGCATCACTGAGGAGTAGTGTCTGTAGGCAATTAATGAGTGCCTTGGAGGATGAGTTTCTGGTACAGGGTCATTTAAGAAATAAGTGGGGATGTGACAGGTAAAATTGTATCTTAAATGAATCACTCTGGAAGCTGACTAAATGGGTTTGAAGGGGCAAAGTTTAGAGGCAGGGCTTGCTATTAGAAGATTTCTAGTGGTCTAGGTGAAGGGAAAGTGTGTGCCCTGACTTAGGACAGATATCAGGGAGAGAGAAGAAGTGGTAGATATAATGAAGGTTGGCATTGCTGTTGTGTGTTTGCCTATGTGTAAATTATTTAATCTTTATAAAAACCAAACCAAATGCATTGCAGTTATCAGTTTCAACTCAGCAACCATTAAAGAACGCTTTAAGTCTATAGGAAAGTAGAACTGCTCCCTAGAAATTTCAAGGTTGTAAATTTTTATGGAACCAGCTGCCACATCTTCTGAGGAATGGCTGGTGGGTTTAAGATGCCTATCATTCAGTTAAGCACTTAACCATTGCATTGTTGTTCAGTGCTGTTGAGTCAGTTCTGACGGCTCATAGTGACCCTGTGTAGGATTTTTGAAGAGTAGCTGGTGAGTTTGAGTTCAAACCAACCTTGTGGTCCAGTGCTTATCCTATAGTGCCACACCAAGAGGATGCTCAAAAACTCTTACAAAGGAGATACAGTTATATCTGATGAGGATGCTGAGGCACAGAAAGATTAAGCTACTTGCCTAAGGTCTCACAGCTAGCAAGTGACAGAACTGGGCCTACCTCTCTCTAATCACTGAATGATATACTTTCCTGTACTTTACCGTGTGGAGAGTGTATAAGGTGAGATCAGGACATGGTGAGTGACTGACATTGAGGCCAAGGGAGCAAGAATTCAGGGGTAAGCATCAGATTTCTAAGGATGTGTCTACGTGAACTGTGATATGTCTATTGAAGATCACAGAGGAGGAAGGGTAAGTTGTTAGCTGCTGTCTACATTTCCGATTATAATCACAAGGATACTCTGTTCTAAAGGAATCTTTATTAAAACTATAGTCTACTTAAAATTTGTGCATTTTACTGTGTAGTAAAATTATACCTCAGTGACACTGAGAAAAATCTGTAGGCTTTATGATCATTTAAAAATTATAGAAGGAAATTTCCGAAATACCTGTAATGAAGTATATTGCTTGCCAGTATCACTGAAGACATAAATTTACCTTCTTGAGTTTTCTGTTTCTCAGTAATAGAATCTCACCCAGATAATGCATTAGAGGATCTACGACTAGATCAGCCTTTCCCTGAGTTGAGAGAACATTTTCAGTCTTATGATTTGGATCATATGGATAAAAAGGTTGGTAATCTCCCAAACATTCTTTTTTTTTTAACCTAACATTTTTGAATTACACCAGAGTGAGAAAATGCTATAAATCTCCTTATGCCTACCACATTACACAATAACCACCTTCTTTGTTTCAAATAAATCTATTGCCTACCCCAAAAAATTCAAACCCTTTTATTAAAGAAAAGTACATTAAGTGAGTCAGGTCAAGAAAGTAACATTAACAGATTCCAGAAGCCCTCTTCAAACCCTTGCTGAAACAAATATTTAAAAAATAGTGTGAATTTGGCGTGAGTCTAGTCAACTTTGCATATTTCATTATAGAATTAATGATATTTGTAGCAATCTCATGATAGAACTAAAGGAGTTGTTGTTGCTAAGTGCCATCGAGTTGATTCTGACTCAGCGACCCTGTATAGGGTTTTCGAGGAGCATCTGATGGGTTTGAACTGCTGACCTTGTGGTTCACAATCCAGTGCTGACCCTACAGTGCCACATATATATATTTTCTCCTCAGACTTACTAATTAATATGCAGGTGCTTATTTGATTCATTGGAAGATGGAGAATATTCTCTTAGTCTGGTATTGGTATTTGAAATCAAGATTTAAGCTACATTTTTGGGTGGTAGTCTTTTGAGACTGTTATATGTCACAGTACAAACCTGACATATTGGGATTACATTGGACACTAATACTAAATTTATAAAGCAGTTTCTATTGATCTCATTTATCTTCTTGCATTCATTATTCTGCATAGAGGAGAAAATGATTAGTAAATAATGTTGAATTTGTTGAAAATGAGACGTTGTAGGGAAGAATTCATGTTAGCAATTACTGAGATTTTCTTTGCCTTGTCTCTTATTTTTAGGATCATAGCCATACTCCATGGATTGTGATCATAGCTAAATACTTAGCACAGTGGTATAGTGAGGTATGTGTTGTGTTTTTTTAAAGATGTTTCACTGGCGATTATATTTTTAATTTATTATAAAGGATTTCATTGGATTTGGGCCAGGAGATTCTTTTTTTGTTTATGGGGTTACAGGGCATGAAGATGCTTTTCAGTTTAAATCTAACAGTTCATCTTTTTATACTTTTTTTTTTAATAACAAAATAAAATGAATAAATGCCATTTTGAAACTGTCAGTAGTGAACAAATGAGGAGAAATGACCTATAGTTTGTGTTTTCTATCAAGTGAATTTCTTGATTTCACTGAGGTGTACATTTTATTATAACAATTTCATGTTGGTGGGGAAATGGGGAAAACTTTGGAGTCTGAATTTCCATTTTTTGAGTTTTTATACCTAGATTCTTTAAAATTTTCAACCAATTTAGACAAATGGACGAATACCTAAAACATACAAAGAAAAAGAGGACTTCAGAGATGTGATTAGACAAGGTAAGATTATAAGTGTGACTAAATGTTGTAGGAAGTTTGAAAAGCAAGTTCCTTTAAAGCATATGTTTATTGGATTTATTTTTTAATACCTTTGTCAAATGGTACAGCCATTTAGCTTTTACTTTTCTTTTCCTTTGGGGAGGTTGAAGAGTCATTTCTTAGGTGGTTTTAAAACTGGCTAATGATAAGCCCACCAACCACTCCTGGAAAACCTTATACAGGGTCACTATGAGTACTTAACAATAGCAACAACAATAAGCCACATTTCTTGTTAAGATTTTATTATTCTGATCACTCCATCAGAATCTGACTAGATCATTTCCATAGTGCTAGGGGAAGAGAGAGAGTGAGAAGAAAAGGATTTTCGTTTGCGAACTAATTTCTACTTTTACTAGGAATTCTAAAGAATGAAAATGGAACTCCAGAAGATGAAGAGAATTTTGAAGAAGCTATTAAAAATGTGAACACAGCGCTAAATACAACTCAGGTATTAAAAGACTTGCTCAGGTGTTTTGTATATTAAAGGTGTTTTTTTCTTATGTGAAATAGTTGATTATTAAGATTTAATAAGATTTTTTAATTGCATAGTTGGTTAGAAATAAATTTTTATTACACAGGTTGAATCTTGTTTTAGAACGGTTCTGTGTTGTCCTTGTTAAAATGGATGCCAGTGATTCAGTGATTTATAGAAATTAATTATTTCAAATACATAATATATGACTTGTAACAGTTTGGAGGTAGGAGATACGTAAATAAGGTGATATTTTTGCTGCCCAAAATAGTATTGCAAGAAAAGTTAAATATTCTTACCCTTTGAGCATGGTGGCTCTATACAATAAGCACCAGACTGCAAACCACAAGATTAGTGGTTTAAGCACACCAGCTACCCTACAGAAGAAAGATGAGTGAGTGGTATGCAGAGGGCTGGGGGGAGAATTTTGCAAGTTGAGGAAGCACCATGTGCAAAGGAGTACTGACTTAAGCTTGGCATTTGTAGGAAAGCCATTGTGATTGGATGAAGTGAACAAAGGGGAACGTCTTAGGCAGGAGAAGATTTTCTCTCCTTCTCAATTGAATCTTCATGTGGTACTGATCTTAAGTAAAAGTGTAAATCACAAGTTTGCTTATAATTTGAGAATTCAGATAACCTGCTTTGAAAACAAACATGGGAAAGTTTTTCATGAAAGTATTTTGTGTTTCTTTGTTAGATTCCAAGCAGTATTGAAGATATATTTAATGATGATCGCTGCATAAATATCACCAAACAGGTAACCAAAGAAAATAAAATGGTAAAAATAATGCTGGCCTAAACCTTTGGGTCAAATTAAAATGCCACTTAGACTGTTTTGTCTTTCTTTCTTTATTTTAGACACCATCATTTTGGATTTTAGCTCGCGCCTTAAAGGAGTTTGTGACCAAGGAGGGTCAAGGAAATTTACCTGTTCGAGGCACAATTCCTGATATGATTGCAGATTCAAGCAAATATATAAAACTGCAAAATGTGTATGTCACTGTTTTCAAACCATGTCACATACCTATTAGTCTGTTTATATGAGAAATAAGTATTTATCTGTGGAGAAAATTATCTTACCAGGAATCAAATGAAAGCCTACTACAGCCTTTATTGTTTTAAAATAAGCTGAAGAATTAGAGGGGCCAGATTTTGTCTTTTATAATTTCATGATAAAAAAGTTAACATTTGAGCATCTACTCTGTATTAAGAACTGTTTTCTGTATTAATCAATTTAATGTCCATAATAGCCTTATAAGAGACAGGGTATAATTCACCGTGTTAGAGATAGGGAAGCTAAGGCATAGAAAAAATAACTACTCATTTAGGATTGACGTTCTTGTTAATGCTGTTGAATTGGTTGCTACTCTCAGATTATTTGCTCATAGGGACCCTGTGTAAGGAGTTCTGAAGAGTGGCTAGTGGGTTTGAACTGTCATCATTGTGGTTAACAGTCTAGTGCTTATCCTACAGTGCCACCTCAGGTGTTTGACAGTGTTGTTTTTCTTGATCAGTGCCGTTGAGTCAGTTCCAACTCATAGTAACCCTGAATAGGGTTTGAACTGCTAACTTTGTGGTTCACAGCCCAGTCCTGATCCACAGCACCACACCAGGAGCCCTGTACAGGGTTGGTAGTGGTGGTGTGCCATGGAGTTGGTTCTGACTCATAGCTACCCTGTGTAGGGTTTTGGAGGCTGTAAATCTTTACGGGAGCAGAAAGCCTCATCTTTCTCCTATGGAATGGCTGGTAGTTTTGAACTGCTGATCTTGAGATTAACAGCCCGACTTGTAACCAATACATTACCGGAGCTCCTTGACAGGTTGTTGTTGTTAGGTGCCATCGAGTTGGAACCAACTCATAACAGACAACACACAACGCACAACAGAACGAAACACTGCCCAATCTTGGGCCAACCTCACAATTGTTGCCACACTCAAGCCCACTGATGCTGCCACTTTGCCAATCCATATTGCTGGGAGTCTTCCTCTTTTTCTCTGATCCTCCATCTTACCAAATATGATATCCTTCTCCAGTGACTGGTCCCTCCTGACAATATGTCCGAAGTATGAGAGACGAAGTTTGGCCATCCTGGCCTCCGAGGAGCAGTCTGGCTGCACTTCTTCCAACACAGATCTGTTGGTTCTTTTGGCAGCCCATGGCACTTTAAATATTCTCCTCCAACACCGTAAGTCATACTGTTCCTTTTGGTACAGTTATTCACTGTCCCAGCTTTCACGTGCATATGAGGTTATTGAAAATACCATGCCTTGGGTCAGGCACACCTTAGTCCTCAAGCTGACATCTTTGCTTTTCAACACTTTAAAAAGATCTTGTGCAGCATATTTGCTTAATGCAATACATTATTTGATTTCTTGACTGTTGCTTCCATGAGTGTTGATGGTTGATCCAAGAAGAATGAAGTCCTTGACAACTTCAATCTTTTCTCTGTTGATAAGAATGTTGTTTATTGGTCCAGTGGTAAGGATTTTTGTTTTCTTTACCCATACCAAAGGCTGTGGTCTTTTATCTTCATCAGTAAGTATTTTAAATCTTATTCACTTTCAGCAAGCAAGATTGTATCATCTGCAAATGGCAGATTGTTAATGAGTCTTCCTCCAATCCTGATGCCACGTTTTTCTTCATATAACCTAGCTTCTGAGATTATTTGCTCAGCGTACAGGTTGAATAAATATGGTGAAAGAATACAATCCTGTTGCACACCTTTCTTAATTTTAAACCATTCAGTGTTCCCATGTTCTGTTTGAACAATTGCCTCTTGGTCCATGTACAGATTCCTCATGAACACAATTAAGTGTTCCAGAATACTCATACTTTGCATTGTTGACCATAGCTTATCATAATCCACACAATCGAAAGCCAATCAGTTGGCCAGATAGTTATCTTCCAAATTTCTTATATAGATGAGTGAGTTCTTCCAGTGCCGTCTCACTTTCTTGAAAGATTTCAGTTTTTATTCCATCAATTCCTGCTGCCTTGTTCTTTGCCAATTCCTTCAATGCACATTGGACTTCTTCCTTCAGTATCATTGGTTCTTGATCATATACTACCTTTTGAAACAGCTGAACATCCACCATTTCCTTTTGGTACAGTGACTCTGTATTCCATCTATCTTCTTTTGATGCTTTTTGCATCATTCAATAATTTGCCCAGAGAATCCTTCAATAACGAAAATTGAGGCTTGAATTTTTTCTTCAGTTCCCTCAGCTTGAGAAATGCTGAGCATGTTCTTCCCTTTTGGTTTTCTCATTCCATATCTTTGCACATTTTGTTGTAATATTTGACTTTGTCTTCTCAAGCTGATCTTTGAAATTTTCTGTTCAGCTCTTGTACCTCCTCATGTCTTCCATTTGCTTTACCATCTCTGTGCTGGAGAGTAAGTTTTTAGTATGTCTTCTGACATACATTTTGAGCTTTTCCTTATTTCTTGTCTTCTTAATGACTTTTTACTTTCTTCATGTATGATGTTCTTGATGTCATCCCACAACTCTTCTGGTCTTCTGTCTTTAGTGTTTAATTTATCAAATCTGTTCTTCAGATGATCTCTAAATTCAGCTGGGATATATTCAAGGTTATATTTTGGCTCTTAAGGACTTGTTTTCGTTATCTTCAGCTTCAGTCTGAATTTGCATATGAGCAGTTGATGGTCTGTTCCACAGTCTGCCCCCTGGCCTTGTTTTGGCTGATGATATGGAACTTTACCACCATCTCTTTGCACAGATGTAGTCAATTAGATTTCTGTGTATTCCATCTGCTGTGGTCCATATGTATAATTGCCTCTTATGCTGTCTAAAGAAGGTATTTGAAATGAACAAATCATTGATTTTGCAGAATTCTATCATGTGATCTCCAACATCATTTCTATCACCAAGACCATATTTTCCAACTACTGAGCCTGCCTTTTTGTTTCCCACCTTTGCATTCCAGTGACCAGTAATGATCAATATGTGTTGATTGCATGTTTGATCAATTTCAGATTGAAGAAGTTGGTAGAATTCTTCTGTTTCATCCTAGTTGGTGCATAAATTTGAATAACAGTGGTATTAACTGGTTTTCCATGTAGATGCATGGATACTATCCTATCACAGACAGTGTTGTCCCTCATGACTGATCTTGATATGTTCTTTTTGACAATGAATGCAACACCATTCCTCTTCAATTTGTCATACCTGGCATAATAAACCATGTGGTTGTCAAATTCAAAATGGCCAATACCAGTCCATTTCAGCTCACTAAGGCCTAAGATATTGATGTTTATGCGTTCCATTTAATTTTTGACAATTTCCAATTTTCCTAGATTCATACTTCATACATTCCATATTCCAGTTATTAATGGATGTTTACAGCTGTTTCTGTTCATTTTGAGTTGTGCCCCATCAGCAAATGAAGGTCCCGAGGGCTTTAATCCCATGGGCTTACTCATTTGCATCATCCATCACGGTCAACTCTACTTTGAGGAGGCAGTTTCTTCCCCAGTCGCATTTTGAGTGCCTTCCATCCTGAGGGGCTTATTTTCCGACACTATATCTGACAGTGTTTTTCTGCTATTCATAAGGTTTTCGGTGACTAAATATTTGGAAGTAGTTTGTCACTCTTTCTTCCTAGTCTGTCTTTGTCTGGCAGCTCACCTGAAACCTGTACACCATGGGTGACCCTGCTGGTATTTAAAATACCAGCGGCATAGCTTCCAGAATTACAGCAGCTTACTACAGTATGACAGACTGACAGATGATGGTCTTGACAGACGGTGGTAAATGAAAGAACCAGGATTTGAACTCCAGCAAATCCACTTCCAGAGGCCATGCTCTTTAGCCACATGATATACTGTCTTACCTGTAACTTAAAACTCTGGAATTAGATTTGATGGTTTTTTGTGTTGTTTTTTTCTAAACTGTTTTATTAAGAATTATGTGATAGCTTATATGGGAGAACATTAGCTTTACATTCATCCTATCGTATATCGTTACATTGCCATGGTTACAATCCCCTCTATGCATCATCAACCAACCAAAGGGTACACCCCACAAATATGCCCCCTGATCTTCAGCACACAGCCCCTCTCCCTCTCTGGGTCTAGATTTCCCAGCCGCTCCATCTCTCCACGTCATTGTCTCTGCCTCCATCTCTGGCGTCACTCTTTCTCTGGGTAGGATCCTCCTACCCCGCTCTTCTCCCTTGTTGGTCCCAGGGACCTCTGCTTCTGGACTGCAAAGTCAACCACTTCCATCCTTTTGCTACAAAACATCTACCATAACATTTCCAACCCTCACAGTCAGTCCTGATAACAATTATTCACTATTGTGCCACATGAGACCTATCCACATTTCCTTTCATTAGCCTCGCCTAGATAGGATTGGATGTTATTCAGTGGAGATTCTACCTTCCTGGATCTAGGCTCCCTCTTGAAAGCTTGTAAACCAGTCACTTACCTTTGTAGCCCCTCCATTTTGGCTAGCTAATACCCAAGTTGCCCATCCCTGTCTACCCTGTATATTGAGGGGGTGGGAATGATCCTTGCTGTAAAGATTTGTTCCCTCTTTTGAGCTACTGCATCCATAGGTGTAGGTCGAGTTTATCAAATGGTATCAGATTACTATTTTTTTCCTCTTCTTTCTTCTAGTTAAGCTCTGATCATCCAGCCATTGAAGCCAGGTCAAGTGGGTATTATCTGCAAGTGTGGGTGTTCTTGTTCATATGCCCTTTCTTCTTATCAGCTGGATGCTTCATTCTCCGTTTTAGTCCTCTGTGGCTATGTCACTGACTCCAGGCCCAGGAGTCCTCAGGTCTTGCCAAACTGCTGGCCAACCAGGTCTCCACCCAGGTTCACAGGGCTTAGCTCGCAGCTTCATTGCTATTTTTCCCTCACTTCCCCTTATTGGTGACCAGCGTGGCCACCAGTCAGAGCATATGTCTGCTCGTGTATTCCCACTGAGACTTAGTCTTGGAAGGGGGTTTGCCCTGAGGGGACCTTATTGCTTGCCTTGGTATCTCCTGGACGAGCTTCTTGCTTGTTCGTGTAGTAGTCAGCTGGTGGTGGTGGTACTGTGTGCCGTGGAGTTGGTTCCAACTAATAGTGGCCCTGTACAGGGAGCAGAATGCCTCATCCTTCTCCCGTGGAGCAGCTGGTAGTTTCAAACTGCTGACCTTGTGGTTCGCAGCCCGATTTGTAACCACTATGCTACCAGAGCTCCTTAGTAGTCACCTGGATTGCTGTTATTTTGTATTTTTCCTGTTGGTCTTTCTTTCAAGAAGTATCTTTTGTTGTAGCTGCTCCAGGCTGGTCTGCTTGTCCTTTCAAGTGAAAATTTCCCACCTCAGAAGATTATGGATGGGGTTCAGGATTCCACCTATGGTCTTATGTAATACAGGGGGTCCATAGGAAGCCTCCTTCACTGGGCACATTGTAGCCCCATTTTAGGTATTCCAAAGATTTGATGGTTTTTTGTTTTTGTTTTTTCATGACTGCTTCATAACTTAAAGAAGCTTGACTGTAGGCACCTGTCTAGGCATCATTAGTCTGAATCCAGATAGACTGCCCTAGGAATGGGTCTCCATAGATATGACCTGTGTAGTTCAGGCATGGTGCTAATGAATCCAGGGTTGCTGGCTTTGTCCCCTCTAGGGCCGGGGCCAGATAATACCACATAGAGAAGATCTCTGTTCCTCAGATAGGTGGCATGTGTCATCTCAGTCAGTGTCTACCAAATTTTTGTTTGTTGTCCTAGCCTAAGAGTTCAATCACCTAATACTTGAAAAAGAGCAGTTGAGGATAGAAAGAAGCATGGCCCTCAAAGTTGGTTGTCCGTGAAAACACTGCTCCACCTTCAGCGGGTGAACATGTAAACAGTCTTAAAAGTTGCAGATGGATTTGTAGGTAAACACTGGGACTTTGACTTAATTTAAAGGAGACACACCGTGCTCTTCATGAGCACATTTCTACAGGTCCTCTGTTTATAGAATGCCAGTTTGTAAGTTGGATGCTATTAATTAAGCATTTACCCAGGGTGTCCATCACCAACTCTGGACAAACTCCTACCACTAACTGGAGCTGCTGGTAGCATTTCCCCGGCTTCTTCACATTTCAGATGTTTCCAGGCCAGTATTTTTCATGTAAAGGAAAGAAATCTTTGCTTCATGGTGGCAATTTGCGTTTGTTATTTTAAAATTTGTTAATAATCGCTTTGTTGTTGTTTGTTTCTAGTTATCGTGAAAAAGCAAAGAAAGATGCTGCTGCTGTGGGTAATCATGTTGCTAAATTGCTGCAGTCTGTGGGCCAGGTAAGCTTTGAGGGCCTTTGTGGGACCGCTCCATACAGGCCTGCAGTACTACCGGCCTGGCGGGGAGAGGGCAAAGGAGGGAGGGGCACTGCTCAGTGCTTCTTTAGAGGCAGTGCCCCTCATCTGGCTAAGGAGAAAAGCCTGTTCTTAGGAAACAAGATCTTTTTAAAGTGCTCTTCCAACTCTTGGAGAGAAATTCCCATCTCACCGTGAGCTGGCTGTGTGCTGCACCCTTTGTTCATCATTTCTTAGACTGGAGGAAAACCTGCATTTCTCTCTTTACAGGCGCCAGAGGCCATCTCAGAGAAAGAATTAAAATTACTCTGTAAGTCCCCTTATATTAATTTCCTTATTTTGCTTGATAAAAATGTGCTAAAGGGAATGTTTCCAGTAATTTTTAAGTGGTTAAAATTATAAATTTTCCATGGTCTCAGTGGTGTGGATATAGTTAATTACTGAGTGGTGATTGATTAGTTTCTGTCGAGTAGCATCTGACACAGCGACCCTGTATAGAGTTTTTGAGGCTATACATCTTTGCAGGAGCAGAAAGTCTCATCTTTCTTCTGTGGAGTGGCCAGTGGACTTGAACTATTGACTTTGTGGTTCATAGTCCAGTGCTTAGTCTACAAAGTTACCACACACTCAGTTACTGGGAAAGCAATTTTTTTTTTTAATTTACTATGATAAATGGAGGTGCCCTGGTGTGGCACTGTGGGTTAATGCACTGGACTGCAAAGTCAGTTTGAACCACAAAGTCAGCAGTTCAGGCTTACCATCTGCTCCTTGGAAACCCCTTACAGGGTCGCTATGGATCAGAACTGACTTGATGGCACTTAACAACAATAACATGATGAATGGGGAGGGTATTTTATGAGTAGGTCAGAGATGGTGGTGGTTTTGTGCTGTGGAATCATTCTGACTCATAGTGACCCCGAGGCTGTAAGTCTTTACAGGAGCAGAAAGCCTCATCTTTGTCCTCCAGAATGGCTGGTAATTTCAAACTGCTGACCTCGAGGTTAACAGCACAACTCGTAACCACTATACCACCAGAGCTCCTTAGGGTCAATTAATTGGAAACGGAATTGTCATTAATACAAATTTTATTACTCTTAGCTTATTGATTTTAGGTTATTTGGGAATATTTTATCTGAAGATTTTAGGTATAACCTAGAGTCATATTGTCATAGATTGTATTGGTTTAAATGTTCATTTTAATCTGTGCCAAATTACTTCACTGGAATTAAGAATTTGCTGTCTAGTTTCCGGGCTGCTAGGCTTCAGGTGTTGTGTTTTTTGTTTTTTTTTTTAATTGTGGTAAATATGTGTGTAACCAAACATTGGCCATTCCGGTGTTCTTTATACAATTCAGTGACACAGCCTCATCATCTTGGGCAACCATCACCATTATTAGCTTCTCCATTTTTCTATCACTCTTCACAGAAGCGTTCCTAAGGTCTTCTTGATAACATTTTCTTTCATTTAATAGTCAGTTTTAAAATGATAGCAAATTTCTTTTACATGACTGTTGAAGATATTTTCTGTGGATCCTCCCCCTGGTTTCTGTAGAACTCTCTATTTTGTATGGTCCTTACCCTGGAAGTGGATTGATCTGACTTTCTCATTTCATGGCTCTTCTACAGTGCTTGTTCTGTTGCACTACTCATCTTGCACCTTGTTTGTGCATTAGTGTGTGCTCTACTAGATTACACGTTGTTGTTGTTAAGTGCCGTCAAGTTGGTTCTGACCCATAGCAACCCTGTATAGGGTTTCCATGGAGCAGCTGGTGAGCTTGAACCACCAGCCTTGTAGTTCAAATGGCTTTGCAGTCTAGTGCATTAACCCACAGCGCCACACCAGGACTATATGATTCCTGATTAAAAGCTGGATATTAGGTATATGATATTGGGTGTATTCTGTTGTGGGTTACAAATTGGGCTACTAACCGCAAGGTCAGCAGTTCAAATCTGCCAGCCACTTTTCTGCTCTCTGCTCCCATAAAGATTTACAGCCTTGGAAACTCTATCCAGGATCGCTGTGAGTCAGACCAACTTCACAGCATACATCCACCACCACCATTAGGAATATAAGGGTTGTTATTCTGTTCTCTTTTCTTTGGAGTGTGTTTGAAAATTTCTGTAATCGATAGTTGGTTTTGTTTTGGATTTTTATATACACCAAGAGCACACTATAAAACGCATTCTAGTTTATAACTGTTGTTGCTAAGTGTCGTCGAGTCAGTTCTGACACATAGCTACCCTGCATAGGGTTTCCAAGGAGCAACTGGTGAGCTTGAGCTCCTGACCTTGTGGTTCAAACCGACTTTGCAGTCCAACGTACTAACCTACAGTGCCACACCAGACTACTTATCCATAGATGATAATGAAAGCTTCTACTTCTTGATTTATGTCAGGCATTGTTCTGGTTACAGTTGTCACATTTGGGAACAACTCTCAAAGGCAAATGGTATTATCCTCATTTTGCAAATGAGAAAACTGAGGCTCAGACAGGTGCTATTACCTACTTAACCAGTTCTGAATTGGTTGTAGTGTTAAGATTATGAATTTAAGATGATATGTTCTGGTGCTTTTTCTGCTAACCCGTTAGATGCAAATCGATGTGTTTCATCACATGTCCATGTTTGTGAAGAGTATGTACAGAATTTTTATATTTAAAGGGACTTGTGATTCAGAATATTCATGTGTTGACAGCCATTTACTTCCATAATGTTTATCCTGTTTCAGGTAGTAATTCTGCATTTCTTCGAGTGGTAAGATGTCGCTCCTTAGCTGAAGAATATGGTTTGGATACAATTAACAAGGATGAAATTAGTAAGTATAGGAACCTTCTGATGCGCAGTCATTCATTTTACACAGAAATCCTATTTAGGTCACACAGTAGTATGATATGTAGACTTAAAGTCAGTATATCACTACTTTTAGTAGAGACTGTGAGTATAGTTAATAGCCCATAAGACCCCTGAGTTTCATTTTAATGTAGCTACCCTTTATTTTACTGTTATATTTTATCAGCATAAAATGTTTAAATTTTGTGGTTAAATTATATTATATTCTGAAACTTAAGTAGTAAATTCAACCCTTAATTGTTTATATCTTGTAAATTGTCCAAATTATACTGGAATTTTTTTTTTCTTTTTCAGTTTCCAGTATGGACAATCCAGATAGTGAGATAGTATTGTACTTAATGTTACGGGCTGTTGATAGATTTCATAAACAACATGGTAGATATCCAGGTAAGTAAATAGCAAATAAATTACAAAATCTAATACAGTCTTAAAACGGCCTCTTAAATTGAACTGAATTGTAGAGTACTCTCAGGGTATTTATAATGGTACAAGTTGAATTATACATTTTAAACTGTTTACACCTAATTCAGTCCAAAGAGGAACTGTTTTTATTTTTGTTTCCTTTTTAAAACATTTAAATGTTTATCTGCCTTTTGTTTTTGTTCTTTTTTAGAAAAATCATTTTGTTCTTGAGAATAAACATACTAAAACATATACCAGTTCACCTGTTTCTACATGTCCAGTTCAGTAGCAGTGATTATGTTCTCCCACCTCTTCTAACCATTGGCTTTTTAAGTATAAATATTGGCAAATATTACTTGATTTTAAATTACTTCAGGGGAATTTAGTTAAATGTTTAGAGAAGAAAGCTTTCTTTTTCCCCTATCAGTTTCTGTACTTTACTTCTGAGACTCCCACTAAGTTGAATTAAATGGACTAGGAGAGAGAGCCACAGAAGTATGAACTCAGAACTCAGACGTGGAGGGATTTCATTGCTCTGTAACTCTTTCTTGTTATGTGCAAATGTAGGCATTGGGGACTGGCATAACCTCAGAAATCTAAATTTCCCAGAATATTTTTATTGTTGATGATAATGTGAATTGTGCTGGATTACTACACAGTAGTACATTCTATGCAGATCATAAAACCTGTTGCCCCAAGTAATGTAGTACATGCCTTCAGAGCTTAATGAGCAAGCTTATCAGAAGAAGCAAAGAAATAAAATAAACACCAAATATGGAGTCCTGGTGTGGCACTGTAGTATAAGCACTGGATTGCTAACTGCAAAGTCAGTGCTTCAAACCCACTAGCTGCTCCTTGGAAACGCTATATAGGGTTGCTATGAGTCAGAAATGACTCAACGGCACTTAACAACTTGGCTAGAATATTTCCTTGTTATGTAACACCCCTCCCTGAAACTTAGTGATTTAAAACAGCAGTATATTATTTCTCATCGTTTTGTGTATTTACTGGACACAATTAGGCTCTGTCAGTATGTGTGTGGGAGAGTGTCAGGGGTTTTGTTGCATGGTACCTGGGACTATAGTCATTCTGGAGACTTGATTGACTTAAGCATCCAAAATGTTTATAGTGTTTTCGTGCGTCCCTTTGTTGGTTACAGGTATATATTTTTTATGTTTTGTTTTTTTTCGAAGGGGTATCTAACTATCAAGTTGAAGAAGATATAGGAAAGTTGAAGTCTTGTCTCACCGGCTTCCTTCAGGAATATGGCTTATCTGTAATGGTGAAAGATGACTATGTCCATGAATTGTGAGTACTTTTTAGGACATGTAAGAGAAAACTCTCTTTCTGTTGTAGGACTGATCTAAATTCACGTTTCAATCCTTCCTTGTAGTTGCCGATATGGAGCTGCTGAACCACACACCATTGCTGCTTTCTTAGGAGGTGAGTTCCATCAATGAAAAGACTGTCACCTGCTTTTATATAGCACAGTTACTACTTCCATATCCATTTTTGTTTTCTTAGCTATTTTAGTTAGGGATGTCAGAAAAACACGATGTAAAGCTTAGATTGTTTCAGTAACTTCTCTATTGGTCTCCCTGCCTCCCGTCTCTTCCACTCCAGTCCATTTTACAGGAAGTATCACTGATCTTTCCAAAGCATAACTCTGGCTGTATCCTTCACTTAACTAACCCGCTGACCTGCCTGTACACATATCCCACATGCTGACCCAGGAAACTTAACGTGATATTACAGAATCTCTTATATTCTGGTTCTGTCCAATTTTTCCAGCCTCGGCTTTGCAATATTATTTATGTTCCCCAGAGACATACCTTTTGATGTCCTACTTTTATATTTTTGCTCCTTGGGGCCCATTTGCCTTAAATCTTATTTCTTACATGTTCAAAATCCATCCGTTTTTCAAGACCCAACTATCTTGTTTATAAACTCCCTTTATCTCCTACCTTCACTCCACTTCCCCTCCCCCTCACCCCCCTAAAAACACCCTTCTGTCTTTGACCTTTTTTAGTCTGAGTTATATGCTGACAGTGTTTTCCTTTGTGATTAGTAATGTTTTGAAAGCAGACCCAGTTTGATTAGTATTCAGAGTGCTCAAAATATAAATGAATGATCATAGACTTAGAAAAACTTGATTTTAAACAACCTCTAATTAAAACCTGATTCTAGATCATTTATTTTAATCTAAAACCAAGTCTCTTATGCCCAAAGAGCGAAATAACTTTCCAGTCATAATAAAAAGCAAATTATTATTTGTTAAGGCTCTTTTCAGATATTAAGAATATCAAACACAATTGGAGAGGTTGCATGCCTGTCCAAACTAAAACCAATTGTCAATGACTCATAGCAATGCTACAGGACAGGCTAAAACTGCTCTAGAGTTTCCACGGCTATAGTCTTTACGGGGAAAGGAGCCCTGGTGTCTCCGTGGATAAAGTGCTGGGCTGCTAACTACAAACCACTAGCCGCTCCAGCCGCTCCATGGGAGAGAGATGTGGCAATCGGCTTCCATGGAGAGTACAGCCTTGGAAACCCTGTGGAGTTCAACTATGTCTCCCCAGGTTATTATGAGTCAGAATCAACTCAGTGGCACAGGGTTTGGGACTCTGTTAACAGCTGAATGCTTAATCACTATGTCATCAATAATCCTTTGTACTTGTTTATGGTGGCTGTGTGCCGTGGAGTCGGTTCCTACTCATAGCGACCCTATACAGGGTTTCCGAGGCTGTAAATCTTTACAGGAGCAGAACGCCTCATCTTTCTCCCTCGGAACAGCTGGTAGTTTTGAACTGCTGACCTTGCAGTTCGCAACCTGATTCGTAACCACTACGCTCCCAGAGCTCCTTACTTGCTTATAGCAAAGAAAAAGTTAGATTAAAATATTTTGGTTTTATATGTCCTTTAATCATTATGGAGTACTGGTGTGGTGCTGTATGCTCAGTACTGGACTGTTAATCACATAATCACAAGGTTGGTGGTTCAGACCACCAGCCACTTCTTGGAAACTCTTTACAGGGTTGCTGGGAGTAGGAAGAGACTTGACAGCACTTAACAACAACGTGATCATTATGCACACACCTTTCCTCTTGGTCTTTGCTCAAATGTCATTGTCTTGGTTCTCTAGGCCTTCTAGAAATCCCACAGGCTTTTACAAACACAAGTATATTCTCTTACTACTTAGGAGGCTGGAAGTTGAGTTCAGGGCACCAGCTCTAGGGAAAAGCTTTCTCTTTCTGTGTTGCCTGGGTCTAGGAGGTTCCCAGTGCAGGGACCCCGGGTCCAATGGATGCACTCCACTCCTGGCTCTCCTTTCTTGGAGGTTGTAGGTCCCTCTGACCTCTGCTCATGTGTTTAATATCTTTTTTGGAGTCCTGGTGTGGCGCTGTGGGTTAATGCCCCAGACTGCAAAGCTGTTTGAACTGCAAGCTCACCAGCTGCTCCTTGGAAACCCTGTACAGGGTCGCTATGGGTCTGAATTGACTCAACAACACTTAACAATAACAGCAACAATATATCTCAAAAGAGATTGCCTCAAAATATAGCCTAATCCTGTAGATTACACCTTCCCTCATTATTTGACTACCTCATTAACATCAGCGAAGTTAGGATTTACAGCATACAGGATAACAACAACAGATAATTATATAATACTGAGACTAGCAGCCAGCCATATGACATATATTTTGGGGACACAGTTCAATCCATGACATCCCACCCTTTGTCACCCCAAAATTCCTATCCTTACAACATGTCCATCCTATGACAAAATTCATCTTAATTTGTAAATCTAGGATACAAGTTAGCTGCTTCCAAAATATAATCGTGGAAAAGGCACACAGTAGACAATTGCATTACAAATGGAAGAAATTAGAGAAAAAGAAGGAATAACGGGCAACAAATAAGTCCAAAACGCAGCGGAACAGTGTACATTAGCTCTCAAGGTTTGAAAATAATCCTGTTTTCTGAGACTGTCTAGGCAGTAGTCCTGCCTTCCAGACTCTACACACACCATTATTGCTCCTCACTTCCTCCAGGTCTTTGATTGCATACTGTCTTTACTGGGAAGTCACCTCTCACCTCCTATTATATTAAAACTGAGTACCTCTTGTACTTTTCCCTCCCCCTTACCTACTTACTGTCATTTGACATATTGTACATTTACTTATGTGTAAATGATCTGTCTCTCACTTCTAAAAAGTAAGATTCATGGGGGCAAGGATTTTATTCCCTACTGTAAGGTACTAGAACTAGTGTCTGGAACCAGATATTTATTGAATCAGTTAATATTTGTGAAAGATGAAGCTTCAGGTATAAAAGATGAACTTTTTTCTATTGATAGATATCTTTTATTTTTTGTTTTGAGTAGTTACAGCAGACTGTCAGTATTTAATACAAATTCTTTCATAATGCAGATGTTTTTAGAACACGTTTTATGACATGTTTGGTGCCATCAAGTCAATTTTGACGCATATTGACTAGAACTGCTCCATAGACTATAATCTGTACAGGAAGAGATTGCCACGTCTTTTTCCCGCAGAGCTGCTGGATAGGTTTGAACTGCCAACCCTTTGGTTAACTACTGAGTGCTTAACCACTGCACTACCAGGACTCTGTAAAGTGCCATTATCCCTCTTTTATTATAAAAGTAAAATATGCACAAGGAGGTCAATTGTTATAGAAGAGGATCTTTTGAGAAAAAAGTGCAATCAAAGCATACATACTACTGTTTGTACTTTGCTTTGTTATTTAATCTATCTTGCCAGTCTTTGGCACTCATCATAACTGGAAACACTTAATTCTTTTTAACTGTGGCATAATATTCCATTGTCTGAGTGTATAGAACAAAACCTTTATATTCATTTAACACTGTACTTATAAAACTTGTAGTTCTTACTTTAAAAAATAAAAATCATGGTAAAATATATGTAACAAAATATTTGCCATTTTAGCTTCTAGTGGTTACAAATAAGGCTGCTAATGTCAGGGTCAGCAGCTCAAAACTACCAGCTGTTCCAGGAGAAAGATGAGACTTGCTGCTCCCACAGATTTACAGCTTCAGAAACCTTATACCGTGTCTCTGTGAATCAGTAGCAAGTCAACAGCACTTAGTAACAACAAAAAATAGAAACTTAGTAACCCTTAAGTGATAACACCTCATTTCCCCATAGTCCTTTAATGTTAATATGTCTCAGTAAGCCAGGGCTGTTTGGGATTGCTATTTTTAACACCTTTCCTTTTGGAAAGGAAAAGGTTTTCTTGACAAGACTGAGTCTGTGTGTAATGCTGGAAAATTTACTCTTTTCAAAGATTTGCTCTTCTCCTTTTTCCTTGTAGGTGCTGCTGCTCAAGAGGCTATCAAGATAATCACCAAACAATTTGTAATTTTTAATAACAGTTACATTTATAGTGGTATGTCACAAACGTCAGCAACTTTCCAGTTGTAGAAGTAGAGTGTTGATGATTGAAACTGTAATTGCCTTCAGGCTGTGCTCTAGACTGTAAAATTCTGCTAAATTGTTTTCTTAATAAACACTTTTCTCATTTGTTATAATGCAGTTTTGCTTTTTGAGAAAGACAGGAAAGAGAAGCAGTCATTTTCTTGGAAAATAAAAACTATCCGTTTCTAATTGAATTCATTAATACGGACTTGCTCTTTCAAAGTTACTGATGGAAATCTCTTGAGTTTCATTAGAAAATAGCTTAAATATTTTGTTTTGTAAAATATTAAATAATGAATTTAAACCATGTACACATTTTAGCTATGGGCGTGTTAGGATGATCATTAGTTGTTAAAACAAAGCAGAATTTTTTAAAGATGAATATTCAGGAAGTGTACCTATCAGAGTATAAGACAGCCCCACTGCATGTAGTGTTATTTTTAAGACCTACTTTTTGAAATTTTATGGGGTCTATCTGGCATGGCACTGTAGGATAAGCAAGGTCTGTATGAACTGCAAGGTTGGCAATTAAAATTTACCAGCCACTTCTGGGAAACCCTATTTAGGGTTGTTTTGAGTTGAACCGACTTGACAGCACCTAACAACACCACCTATCCATATGGAGCCCTGGTGTAGTCAGAGGTTCAAACTCACCAGCCGCCCCTGGAAATCCGATACAGGGTCGCTTGGAGTCGGAAAGCGACTCAACAGCACTTAACAAGCAACGATCCATATTACATAAAACCTTTCATTTTAAAGAGCAATTACATCGGAGTAATAGAATTCACCAGTATATCAAAGTAAAACAACACCAACACCAACCCCCCCCCCCCCCAGCCAGCCTTAAAATGGAATTAGAAAAAGATAGAATGAAAACCCAGAGGGAGGTGGGCAGTTAGGCTACTTTCTGATTCTGACTTCCTTACGCCTGAAGAACGTGCCACATGGTTCTCAGCACCTTAATACCCCTAAACTGGCTGCATCAGCCTGTGAGGGCCCAGTCTCCCAAGTGAGGACCTGTGTTAGATATGCCAGTAGGCTGTCTAACAAGGATTTGGTTTTCTTGCACTTTATCGGGTGGAACCTTTACTTGGCTGTCCTTTCAGCAGCCATTCACCACCACCCACCCACCATTTCATGTCTATCCCCCAGCAGTCCCGTGGGGTAGATTTTATTTCTGTGGTGGACGCAATGGCCAGGACCATGAACAGTGTCTGGGCATGGCCCCATTTGAGAACTTCAGCCTAGGAGGGAAGTAAATCGGGTCAGGTGTGGGGCCTGGATGCATGTTGGGACTTGGGTGCACTTCAATGAGATGCCAAACGCCAAGGTAGGAACCCTGCAAGCAACAGGAACCAAGGAGGAGGGAGGCCTGGGAGAGGAGCACACTGCTCACGTGTGGCCGTTGACCCGGATGTTATTTTACAAACTTACTTGGGTTTTGGAGTGGAAGCTCTGAAAATCAGAGACGGTGGGAATAGGGGGCATTTCCATTCACATTTTTTCTTTTTCTAAGCCCCACTTGAAAACTCCCCATCCACACTCTTGGTGAGCTACCAGAGTACAGCTTTTCTGTAGGGGCGGAGCTGGCAGCCGGAAGTTCCGCCCTCGGGAAGTAGCGGCTTTGCAAGCGGGGGGAAACAGAGCTAGGCGTCAAGGTAGGCGGTGGCAAGGGAGAGCTGCAGTAAGCCCAGCGCACTTGTATTGTGGGTAAATTTCAAGGTCTCCGCTCCCTGTTGATTTGTTTCCTGCCTCGGCTCTGCCACTCGACCTGGCTTTAGGTTGTCAGTGGTTTTCTGTGGTAGGTGGTCGCTCCTCACAGAGGATTGGATGCAGAGCCTCCCAGCGGTTGCCTTTTTAAGGGACCCCACACCCTCCATTGGGGAGGTGATCTGTTGATCTTCCTAATGAGGTCGCAGACTCTGCCAGGAAATAGCTGGTGGGAAAAAAAACCTTGTCACTGCCATTTAATCACCTATCTGGAGCTTGACAGGCCTCGGCCTTGACTGAATTTTAGATTATCTGGGCACCTGCGAGTTTTAAAAGCTCCCAGGTAATTTTGGTGTGCCGAAAGGTTGGGATACTCTGGTGAGATCATTTCTCAGATGTGAGGGACCACTTTGTTCCAGAATTACCTGAAGGGGCGGGGCCCTAAGTGGACCAGTGCTGGGCCTCACCTACAATTGGCTAATGGTCCGAGGAGGGGCTGCAGCCCCATCCTTGCCTTTAACCAGAGCTTGGTCTCAGAAGTTTGAGAACCTTGGTCTAGAAGACCTGACCAAACCACTGCGCTCCACCCCTCTTCATCCCATCTCACCTCATCTCACCCTACTGAGGTCGTGTCAATTCCGACTCAGCCACCCTCCAGAACAAAGTACAGCTGTCCGTGGGGTTTCCAGGCCTGTAAATCTGTACGGAAACAGACTGCCTCGTCTTTGTCCGAGGCGCTGATGGATTTTAATTCCCTGAGGAATTCTACCAGCTCTTAAAGGTGAACCCGGCCAAGGCGGGTTATTTATTGAGCAGAAATTGAGGGAACAGCGCAGTATCCCTTATCTGTGGAAGCAAGAATGGGGTGATGAGAATTTACGGGACAGGGTTGTGCAGATTGACCATTGATTTAAAGTGAATTAACTTCTGGTACCCACAACATGTCTTCTTAATCCATTTAAATTAGAACAGAAAATGTATGTTACAGGTACTTACCTATTTACTCTTTCTCTTGCTATGAGTTAAAAATGACTCCATAGCAAGCAACAACAACCCTTTCTTCTACTAAGAGGAAAATTTCTATGTATAATTCCAAGCTTGGATGCCTGCTGTCTAATTTAGTGGTAAGAGTTACAGCTTTCCCAGGGTTTACACACAAAAAAATGTCATTTCCGATATTTGGGAGTAATATTTCATTAACATTTTCTAGTCCAGGTAAAAGTACTTTTCAGCCAGCTAGCTTTCCTGCTGCAGTCGGAATTTGAGTTGGCATTATTTGGGAGAGCAGATCAATGAAACCTATTCAGTTTCTTGTTCTTCCTGTTACCTGAAGCAATCCTTTTTATTTTTTAATGTGAGAATACAGATCAAGAATTTAGAAACCTTGTTCATGACCATTTGCATCTATTCACCAAGTTTCTGAAGACACTTAAGTGCTTTATTTGGCAGATGGTTTTTTCTTCAGGATTATAAAACTATAATTATTTTTATAATTTGATATATAATTTTACCATGTCAATGCTCTGAAAGTTATAATTTGTCCTTTGCTGTAGATATTTTTAAATACTTAACTAGTAAATAGAAGACTTGTAGTAATACTAGTAGGTACTTGGAAGACTTACTTTACTGTGCAAAGCGGTCATTTGTTAGAAAGCTGTATAAGAAAACATGGAGAACACAAGAGGAATATAAGGTAGTGTGTGTTGTTAATTTTGATTTCAAGATATTTATACTTAAAACTTATACATTAACCTTCTCTAAAAATAAGATTATATTTAAAAGCAGAGTATGCTGGCTAATTACAATTAGGAAAACAGTTCTTAATCTCCCTTTATATCGTGTGTGCACATGCACATACACACATGCACACACAGCAAAATACTCACAAAGAATACACGAGTCTTTTACTAACAGCCCAGTTTTTAATCTAGTCTTCTTTTTCCAAATGTTAATTCAAGGTTGTTGTGAAGACTTAAAAGATAATATAGTCAGTTCTCATAATTCATAGTAGTTATTTTCTATTAAGTTGTAGCAGACACTGAATTAGTGAATACTGAAGAATCATTGCTTTTAGGAGAAATAATAGAGTTAGGTTCCTGCAAGCCTCTGCTCGCAGCATTTAATCAACTGGTCAGGACTTAACCTTGTTTTAATATCTATTCTGTTTAAAGACACCTGATTTACTATATGTTGTCGATTCATTAACATTGAACTCACAGCCAATAGCACTTCAAAGCTTGGGCAAAGTTTATCTTACGTATATTTCCAATGTAAGGCACATCGGTTTTCTTGTGTTTAGGAACACACAATTGAACTATTTAAAATAGTACTTCAACCCTATTTTAAATAGTGAAATCACCAGTAAGCACCAAAATGTGAAAATCATGGTACTAATAGTTTGGAGCAGTCCTGGTGTGGCACTGTAGGATAAGCACTTGACCTCAAGGTCGCTTTGATCTGCAAGGTTGGCTTTTTAAACTCACCAGCCACTCCTTGGAAACCCTGTACAGGGTCTCTATGAGTCAAAACTGACTTGACGGCCCTTAACAAGTAAGATAGGCACTTGCTTACAGTATGAGAGCTAAAACAAGGCAGAACATTGACTTGTTTGACTTCACCTGGGAATGTGCTGATCAGGTGTGACTCAGATTTTTTGCTGCTCTGTGTATGTCCTGAAACTACCATGGGTATTGATTTTGGAGTTGCAAATACATTTTAGTGAGTAGGCAAATTTGAAAATATGGACGCTACAAATAATGAGGATTGACTGTATTTGCTAGGTGTATAAAACACTGTAAACACTTGTTGAATAGTATTGTTGCTGTTACGTGCTATGGAGTCAGTTCCAGCTCATAGAGATTTATATAGGGTTTCTGAGGTTATACATCTTTAGAGGAACAGAAAGTCTCATCTTTTTCCCAGGGAGTGTCTGGTGGGTCCAACTGCCAACCTTACGGTATGTAGTCTGGTGCTTATCTTCTAGAATCACCTCACTCCGTGTTGAATATTAGAAGCCATTATTATAAAAAAATTCAAAGAAAAACAGAAAACAATGGAACAAAGCACCTTAGAACCACCACCTACCGACAGTGTTAATTTTACATTTGACTTTTCTTAATTGGGGTCATAATGAAAATAAAAACTTGAATCTTTTTCCAGTTAACAATGTAAGGTGGACATTTTCCCTTGCTACTAAGCATTCCTAGGAAATGTCAATATTCTTGTAACATATTCTGTCCTTTGGATGTACCATAATGGGCCTAACCATTCCTCTTTTAATTAACAGAATATTAAGGTTAGAAAATAGGAAAACCAATATATATTTGTATATTACTTTGTAAAGGAGTCTCACATTATTATTTCTTAATTTTATTTTTTGTTTAGAGAATTCATTTTAATTTTTCAAGAATGAGAATGAAAATAAATAGAAATTAGGTATCTCCCTAAAGGATAATTAGCTTTCTCCCTTTAACTTTCTTAACTAAGGGAGTTGAATTAGTGAATTAACTTTAGTGTTGGAGTAAGTAAGAACTTTATAGAGTTCCATCAGTCCTGGTTTCTTGTTCTAAATCTAAAGAATTAATTGGACTCATAGGTTTCTCTAAATAATCAGGTTAGCACTTTAAAGTAGAACAAGTGAGAGGTCATATCAAGGTTGCTAGTTATTTTTAAAAGTCTTCTAACAAGTGAAATATAAACAAAAATTTTAACTTAATAGTGTAATACCATGTCAGAAATAACCAGGGGTTGTTGGGAAGAGCATTTAATATTAGATTTATCTTGTGAAGAGAAATGTGTATTTGCATGTTTAAACTGTTGATTCATGGAGGGATGCCTAATCTGAAACAATGGGATGAAAATTTACAGTAAAGAAATTAAAAGAAGTGGGACCAGAAAAAGACTAGTTAGATTCTGTCCATCAGTCATTTGTTTCTTCAGTAAAATTTATTAAATGCCTATAGTGTTGAAGAAAGTTCTGTGCCTTTTATGTATGTTTTCAAATTTAGTTCTTATAACAACCCTACAAAGTATATATTCCCATTTTACAGATGAGGAAGCTGAGTCTCAGAGAATTGGTAACTTGCCTAGTATCACAAATCTAGTAAATTGCTGATTTAATTTTTGATATTTTGGTTTCAGGAATACTGTTGTTTACCAACCCTTTTGCATTTATATTTCTAGCAGTCTCAAATATTTATAAACAAATTAAGAAAATAATTTTATAGATGAAATATAAGGAAAAATAATATAGACAATCATGGAACAAGAAGATACAAAGAAAACACAAGGTGAGAAATTCATGATTAGTAACCAGGAATTCATTTTATTTGTAGAATATACTACAAGTTATCTGACAGGTTCCAGGAAACAAAAGAGATATTCTAAAATGTATATAAATACTTAATTGAGCACTTACTTTGTGCCTGCCACATAATTCCTGGCTTCAGGAAACTGATAATTCTGTTAGGTAAACAATATTCTGATAATGAAAATATCTTATGATAGGTAGTTTAATGGAGGTGTAGATAAGACTTAAGAGTTATCTTCAGAAAGATAGAAATTGGAGACACAGTCATGAAGGAAGTTATTCAGTGAGAAAATACTACATTTTAAAAGTTTGAGGAAGAGGGCTCTCAAAAAAATTGAGAGAATAATTTTTTAAAGGTAAAAGGAGGGACAGGAGAGTGGTATCTTGAACATTAAGAGTTTTAGGAGAATACTTCTTGAGGAGATGGCATAAGAGCATCAGTATCAAATGTCACAAATAAAGACTGGGTTAGTCATTGGATTTTTGCATTATCATTGTTAGGTGCCATCAAGTTGGCACCAACTCATAGCGACCCTATGCACAACAGAACAAAACACTGCCTAGTCCTGGGCCAACCTCACAATTGTTGCCATGCTTGAGCCCGTTGTTGCTGCCACTTAGCCAATCCATCTCAGTGGGGGGCTTCCTCTTTTTCTCTGACCCTCCACCTTACCAAAACTGATGACCTTCTCCAGCGACTGGTCCCTCCTGACAATATGTCCGAAGTATGAGACATGAAGTTTGGCCATCCTGGCCTCCCAGGAGCACTCCAGCTATACCTTTTCCAACACAGATTTGTTTGTTCTTTTGGCAGCCCGTGACACTTTCAAGATGCAACTCCAATATCATAACTCAAAAGCATCAATTCTTCTACAGTCTTCCTTAAAAGTTCTTAAGAAGTTCTTAGAACTTCTTAAAAGTTCTACTGGAAGATACATGGTAGTATATAAACATTTTCTCCTAAACACTCCTTTAGTAAGCCAAACAAACCTGTTCTGTCAAACCAATTCTAGTTCCCATAACCCTGCAGGACAGAGTAGAACTGCTCAGTAGAATTTCCTAGACTGTTACCTTTATGGAAAGAGACTGACACGTCTTTAGCCTTTCTCAGGGAGCAGCTGGTGGATTAGAACCACCCACCTTTTGGTTAGCAGCCAAGCGCTTAACTATGGTACCACCAGGGCTCCTTTGTTGTGGTTTCATTTTCATTTACTTTAAAATACTTTGATTTCTAAAAGGGAGGTAGTAAAATAAAAGTGTTATTTTACTTAAAAAAGATTATGTGGATGTTTTATTCGTATACTTCATGTGCCACTGTAGGATAAGCATGGGACTGCTAACCACAAGGCTGGTGGTTCAAACCCTATACAGGGATATTATGAGTCAGAACTGACTTGATGTCATAATACCAAAAACAACAAATCACGTTAGGTGAAAAATAAAGTTTAAGACATTCGTTTTAAATTATTTTATTTAAACACTTATTTTTCTTATACTCTTTATTGGTTGTAGATTATGAAAGTAATACTTGCTTATTATTTTTAAAATGAAGCACTTCAGAGATTGCAACTAGACATTAAAATGTAAGTGGTTAGTTTTTGAAAGAAAGCATTTAAAATAAGGGAATTTTTGTTCTTTAGAAATGAAGACTGACCTGAATTTATTATTGGAGTGCCTAAAGCATCAAATGGACAGCCCTTTTTCACAGAAGGAAACTTTGGTCACTATTCGTTCAGTTTGTCTGCATAATAGTAAGACATGATGATGAATTTTTAAATCAAATGTGAATAGTTCTTTGACTCAGTTACTCAATATGTTATGTTACTCTTTTCATTGGTTTATTTTATCCCTCAACTAATAATCAAAGTAAAGATCCATTTTGTTTTGTTTTGTCTGTGTACCCTGTAGGTAATGCAGGTGCTTATTTTCGGGAAATTGGTGGTTTGATGTTTGTAAAAAATCTTGCAAAGTCAAGTGACCATAGCATGGTGAAAGAAGCAGCCTTATGCACATTAGGAGCAGTTGCAGAACAAAATGGTAAAATATTAAAACTTTATTTCATTAGTCTTTAATTGTGTTACATACATCAACAAAATATGACAGCCATTTTGTATTTGGATAGATTTCCTTTGGATACAGAAATTCATGTTGACTGCTATAGAGCATGAAATCAGAAGGCTTTCTGCCTGCAGACAACTCCAGCCAGGCAGAGCCTAATTCCATCTTGTGCCTAAGTTTAAGCATTCAGATGTCAGTTTTTGAGTACCTAATGAATCTCTGACTGTCAGACTGTCAGAGTCAGAAGCAGAATATATATTTACAAGTGTTTTTGAGGCCACTGTCCCCAGCATACCCTCACAGGAAGTTTCCTGGGCATGACACTTAATGACTGTCTTAAGGGTCATCTGGTTGTGACATCATACCCCAAGAGCCTCAGAGACATCCTGTAAGCTTTTCTATCTACAATAGTACCCCCACCTTGCTTCCAAAGGCCCAACATGCCTGGCATGCTTATGTGACATCAGTGGAGGTTGTGAGAGGAGAATCCTTTGTTCCCTGAGGACTATAAAAGGTCACCATGTGGAGGTGGGACTCTGGGAAGGTCATCATGGCGACATAATGATTTCCCTTACCCAGGTGATCTATGTCTGTTTTGTCTTGTTTTCACTCCTGTTTAAGACTTAATATTGAAGTCCTGGTGTGGCGTTGTAGGATAAGCACTGGATTGCTAACTGAAAGGTCAGCTACTCCTCAGAAACCCTATACAGGTTCACCATGAGTCAGAACCAACTCAACAGCACTTTAACAACAAGAGGAAAGGTTGTTTGAGGAGTGCTGGTGGCCTTGTATGATAAGCACTGGACTGCTGACCACAAGATCTCTGGTTCAAGCCAACCAATTGCTTCACAGTAGAAAATGAGGCTTTTTACTCCAGTGAAGATTTATTTATAGCCTCGGAAATCTTATACAGGGTCCTTATGAGTTGGGACTGATTCAACAGCATCTAACAACAATAACAAAGGTTGGTTGGTTAAAAATTGAACCACAGGGGTGAGTTCAGTCCCATGCCGAAAGGGTGACTAAGGATCATAGTTTCAGGGATTCCATTAGTGAATTAAAATCTGACCAGTAATTTTTCCTTATTTTCCAAAGCAGGGTTCTGAATTTTTGTAAATTGTTTTTCTTGTTGTGTTTTGTCACATAGTCTCTTACTTTTTTTTTTGGTTAGATTTTAATTTTTTTGCTTACTTAACGGTTTTACTGGAAATTTTAGGAGGTAAAGATAGGTATTTTGGAACCCGGAGCAAGTATTTCTGATCAAAATGTGGTTTCCTTTTACTGCTAATTGAGTAGACATATACCAGTTTGTCCGAGTCCTGGTGTGATGCTGTGGGATAATGTGCAGACTGCAGAGCCATTTGAACTGCAAGGTTGGTGGTTCAAGCTCACCAGCTGTTCCTTGGAAACCCTATACAGGGACGCTGTGGGTCAGAACGGACTCAATGGCACTTTTAACAACAACAACAACATACCAGTTTGACAGAAATTATATTGTGTGATTTTAATAAGAGTCATTTAAATGGAATCTGGTTGAGAACCACCTCTAGTTTGACAACTTTGTACTTTGTTCACTATATTTTAAACATTTGAAAATTCTGATTTTATATTTCAGTTTATTGTCAGCAGACTTTATGCACACCAGAGTTATTTGAAGACTTAACTCAGTTCCTATCTAATAATGAGTCTAACATAAATTTGAAAAGAACATCTGTCTATGTTATTTTGGTTCTGGTTTCACATAATAGTAAGTATATTCTCTTTTATATTATAAAAAAACATTTTTAAAGATAATAAGTTGGGACAGTCACCATTAATCCTTTTATGCTTGTTTGTATATCAGTGTTTTTTCTCTCAGTATCTTAAGAGCACTGAATTAAAAGAAAACTACTAACATACATGTAATCATTCAGTATTTATTGTTAATTGTTAGAAATAGTGAAGTGATTTGGTCTACCTACCACTGACAAGTAACAGCTTTAAAAGCCAAAGAGAAGCATTTAATTTAATGAGGAGTTTGGCTGATTTTCCACTGAATTAGCCATTTACTGTATCAGCCAGCAATAATTATGTAATTCATGCGGCCTTTGACTAAAGTTTTGCTTTGCTTTTTGTTTTTTAAAGTTTGTATTTTATAATAATTTTAGGTTTACAGAAAAAGATAGTATAGAGTGCTCTTGTATAGCTTAATCTTGTTGTTGTTGTTAAGTTCCAACTCAACAACCTATCTAGGATTTCTGAGGGATGACTGATGGGTATTAATTGCTAGCCTTGTGATTAGCAGTCCAGTGCATATCCTATAGTGCCATACCAGGACTTAACTAGGCTAAGGTTATTTTAAAAACAAACAAACAAACATTGCTATATGTAAGTCTTCAAATTGTTAAAAATTCTATAAACATTTGAAATACTTCTAGAATTTATTTTTGTACTTTGAAAAATATAGAGAAGATTGAACTTTTTTGTCAAAGATTATTTTGGTATTTTAACAGTGAACCATGATACAAAATAAGTGTTTTGCCATTTTTACAGAAAATTGTTGTTCACTGTAGGATAAACACTGGACTGCTAATTACAGGGTTGGTGGGTCAAACCCAGTAGCCACTCCTTGGAAACACTATATACAAGGTAGCTATGAGTCAGAACTGACTTGATGGCAATTAACAACAATTAACAATCACATGTATTGTATTTTCCATAATAATCTTTTTAAAAATACATGTTTTCATTGACAAATTAGGTGTTCATTTTGACATAAATTCTACCTCCATTGAGCTCTTTCTGGCAAGGTAGAAAGCTTTGCCTTCAGGCAAAGTGTGTCTGAAAGCTAATTATGACTCCCCTACCAGCTTTCGTTATTGAAAGATTCTCTGGGCAAATTATTGAATGATGCAGAATGCATCAAGAGAAGATGGAAGGAATACACAGAATCATTGTATCAAAAGGAAATGGTTAATGTTCACCGATTTCAAGAGGTACCATATGAACAAGAGCCAGTGATACTCAGGGAGGAAGTCCAAAGTGCATTGAAAGAATTG